AACTTTCAGCAACATATACCATGTTGTTGAAAGTTTAGCCACCCATCGGTAATGTATTTCATTTTGCTAAAACCTATTTGAATTTCAAATCCCATAACTCTCATCACCAACGTCTATCATGTTATTAAAAGGTAAAATCACCAATTCTCTTGCCACACTACTGGATAGTTAAAATTATTATAGTTTAATTGATTATTAATCTTAAAAATATTCATTTTTATACCTAAAATTTAATTTATTAGTTGGTTTTGTTTAATTTATTAAATTTTATTTAATGCCTGACACATTAATTAATATAATTGCATTATTTATTAACATATTTGAATAATTTAAAACTCTATTTGTCTAAAAAAATATGTGGATATGCATATTGTTGACGACCAAACTTAAGATTTCAAATTTCAAAAAGAAAAATAAATAATGAAAAATTAAGTGTGAAAAATATAAAATGAGTCATCACTTGTCCAAATTATAAGGTAGGACAAGTTATCTTAAACGGATTTGCGTAGAGATCAGGGTTCGGAAGTTCAGTTAAGAGTAAGGAAAGGCATATACGTACCTCACAATCTTCCATTTAAATACGGTTGCATACTTTAACATTGGGTTTTTAATTCAATTTATTTATTATATCTTTGTTTAGGTCTAAATAGGCAAACTTAAAAGGATAAACCAAATTGGAACATATATATTTTTTTAAGTTTTGGACTAAAATGAGCAAAATCAAGAGCATGCATGCACAATGAGAACAAATAAAAATTAAATGGACTGATTTGATTAAATTCAAAAAAAAAAAACATGAAGGATTGATTTGAAAAGGTTTGAAACCTTGGGATTAAATTGCTTAATCAAAAATTTTTTGGGTGAAATTGAAATAAAAAGAGATAATTTTGACTTTAACCAAGATTAAAGGAAATTAAGGATTTAAATTAATTAACTATGATAATTAGTTTAATTGAATGATTAATTTGTCATTAATTAGAATTAATTAAATTTAACTAATCACATCTATTAATCTTTAATCAAGATAATTAAATAATATAATTATCTTAAATTAAGATCAATAAATACGATTAATTTATTTTAATTAAAATTAATTAATTTTATTAATCATAAACTAAATTAATTATCTAATTAATTAATCATTTTATTTATATTATATATATTTTTTACTTTACTCTTTTTAATTGTTTGTTTTAATTTCTTTTTTTTTTTAGTTCCATTGGATTGGGTCGGGTCATTCTGGCCCAAAAACACAAACACATTCACCAAAATATGCGAAAACAGATCAAACATTAGACAGAAATGGAATCTGGACAGCAACAAAATGAAATTTAGGATTCATTCCAATTGCGTCTCATTCTTCACGAGAAAAACTCATGCATGTAAATGTAGATTTATAAAGATTCAACCAGTAAAAATGACAGAAAATAAACTGAATAATCTTTGATTTTCATTCATTTTTCAGCAAATATATGCAAGCTTAAACATCCAAACTAAAACTAAAAAAAGAGAAAGCAAACATGGCGGATATTTAGAGGAAAACAGATTTGGATTTGCTGGGAGGAATCCCATCCACGGGATCAAGCTCCCACCATTTCCTTCACCATTTCCCTAAAAGAACCTTCTGTTTCGAAGCTAACCTATCAAGGAAGAACACCCAGAAATGGAGCTCCTTTGAATCCTACTCAATCACACTTCTGGAAAGCTCAACAATTCCCCTTCTTCGG